GTAGAGTCTTATTTAAATCAGATAAAGGTGAGAGTAAAGAACATTTTAATACCTTTTAAGATACAGCTAAAACTTAAATCTCCAGAATGACTCGTGCCTCACTCCAGGCTGATCACAAGTGAGCTGATGCCTGTAGGACCACTGTTCTTGGAGGTCATGCTTCAGTATATCTGCTTACACCTTTTATTCTGTGCCATGTTGTTACTTGACTGTGCTGACTGTTATTTGAGTTTATCATATCATATCTAAATTTAGTCTGTAATCTCTTTAGGACAGTGACAATAGTTGCAAAGTCAGAGCTGAGCAGGTCTCATGGGTTTGAGCTGCCTGTGTGCTGTCCTGATCCGCCCAGGTTCCACGAGGCAGGTGCAGCCTTGGTGTAACAGGTAAGTTGTCTTTCTCAGTTACAGTAGTGGAATATAGTGTACTGCACACTGCAGCTTGGCCCTGGACATGTCCTTATGCTGTGGTCTGTGAGAGTATCTTTGAAAAATAAGAGCTCAAGTTAGCAAAGTCTGTCCTTGACCACCACTGGGGCTTTTTTCTGCTGGAGCCAGTGCAGAAGGTTGGGTCTTGCACGGTGTGCTGTGTGCCAGGCCCATTGCAAAAGCAGTACGGTGTGCTGCGGCATGGCGTGTGCTGTCATAGCTGCCAGTTGCTCAGTGAAGTACCCTAGCAGTTGTTTGCCCAAGGACTTGTTTCTCTGCTATCTATGTGATCTGAAGAAGTGATCATACCAAAGTTTAAACTGAGTCTTCAGCTTCAATTTTTAAAGCTGAGAATGTTTGTTTGTTGGTTTTTCATTTCGGCTGCAACCACCACTGTCATGCACCAGCAGGGAACATGCAGAGTACTAAGACTCCAGTTTGACTGGAAAGATTGCCTGCAAATAATTCTAGGTTTTGAGTCTTACAGTGGAAGTTCTTTCCTCTGAAAGCACCAGAAAGCTGTAGAGATGGAAACAGTGGTTGCCTGAGTCCATGCCATGCCAGGGCATAGCCTTTGGCTTAGTGATGGGTCAGAACACATCTAGGTAGGTTTGACTGCAGCTCTGGTTTTCCTGGGGGTTTATGTGGGTTCTGATGATGGAAATGTAGTGCTGGGCCTGGAGATAGGACACTGTGAGTTTGGGATACATTGATGTAAGGGGGTAAGGTGTGGAGGAAGTGAAATCTTGGAAAAAAACAGCCTATATAGGTATTTTGTAGCATAGTGTAAGGGTGTGAGTGTTACCTTTGCACATGGGGTATGTGGTTTCTAGTACTGGCTCTGTCTTGCCGGATAATCCTGGGCTGGTTATGACACTTGTGTGCCTCTGTTTCCCCACTAAAGGAGGTATAATGCCCCTCTGTTTATACTGTAGTACCTGTAGATGCTATGTGACAACTAAGTACTGTACTTATACAACAAAAACACAGATAAAAACATACTTTTGGGTAAGGGTGAATCCTCCTCTCTTCCTTTCACTTGTGGACTGCTCTGGCATCAATAGTGAGCGAGGTAATCACCTTACTCCTCCTTCTCTGTCCACAGACTGGGTTAAGACGGGGTGGTCCTCCAATATAAGCACACTTTTTTCCTCCTCCCTGAAAACACTGTGTAAAATTTGTTGTAT